GTAGTGCATTTGTTCCAAGATGATATACTGTATATGATTGATTGATTGATTTTTCATTGGGCTTTACTTGTTACGATGCTAGAATGATCCTTTAGATATACTTGAGTAAACACCTGAAATAAAACAGATATGGTAGGGACCAGGAGGGAGGGGAGGAAAGTGAGGAAAAGAAACGGGAGGGTATTTCGCTGGTACAGGTACGGAGAGAATATGACTTGGTGTTAGACACCTGTGGTGCGGGTTCCCCGTAGTGCTTGAGTAGCTGCTACTGTAGAGAAGTTGGCAATAGAGCCGATATGTGTAACATGCGACAAGCGGTGAACTGGATGGTACTGTATCTCCGTGGTGAATATTAGCATGTAGGGTTGGCACTGTAAGATAGCCTGTTAAGGTGTCCACCCATTATACGTAGCCGCTTCAAGTCCAGGGATGCGAGGAATACTACTCGAGCAGATATTGAAAATAAAAGTACATTCCCGGTATGTCCCACATACAATGACAAAACCGGGAATGCACGGGGCACGGAGTGTCTTGCGGGACGAGGCTACTCGAGTATAGGCAACAGCATTCTACTCGTATATTTGGAACTAGAGTAGGTATGATAGGAAGTCTACTCGTACAGTAGCACAATGCAACTACAGTACCTCCAAAAGCAATATGAACGGCCATGGTTTGTGGTTGCATGTATACTTGTAGATAGCGTAGTAGACTACTTGTACAGCAAACCTGAAGCATGTCTCAAGGCACTTTTCCGCATAGTGATATCGTAGGAGCAGGTGCTAGAGCAAGAAGCCTATTTCAAACGGGAAATTGGAGTTCCTGGTAGTGGGGGGAATTCTCTGTAATAGCAACCAGTTTTACAAGCTTCCAATACACAACCCCGGAGCGGTGATATCAGAATATAGAATGAGAAAAGCATATTCAATCTTCCCCCACTCATCATCCCATAGAAGTGTCGAAATTCTCACCTCGCGTGGCGTAGAATCAAACTGTTTATAGGGCAACCCTGTTGGCCCTCACCCTACCTCACCCAAAAAAAAAAGCAAAAGGGGGAGATTTTTTCCCGTGTCCAAATCGAGTGTCTTGGCATTTTTGTCTGGGATTCCTTACTTTAAAACCGCCGTCCCTCTCTCTTCCTTCTCCCCCTCTACACTATCAACTACAGCTTCTACTCAACACGACTACCTTTTATCACGCCAAACCGTCAATCACCATGGTACGCAATACCCTTCTGCCTCTCCTCTTCCCCCATTTCTCTTCTCTTCATTTTACCCTCTTACTAACTTTGTCGTCACACAGACCGAAACATCTACCATCGTCTCCAATACGGCGAATGTAATGTTCCCATCACTAACATCCGGAACACACACACAAGCTAACTGACTTCAACAATAGCTCGTCAAATTCCTCAACTTGGATCAGAGAGGGTCAATTCAGGCAGAGTATATCTGGATTGACGGAGCCAACGGCGTTAGATCAAAGACGAAGGTTTGTCTCGGCCCCCAATATTCTTATCGCCAATAGTTTACCCCACCATCATTGACCCCACTACCAACAAACCAACATCAGCACTGTTTTTTTTCCCTTCAGCTGACATTTCTATCTTCCTAGACTCTCTTCAAGAAGCCATCTTCTGTCGAAGATTTGCCCGAATGGAACTTTGACGGATCCTCTACTGGTCAAGCTCCTGGTGAAGACTCGGACATCTACCTCAGGCCTGTCGCAATCTTCCCTGATCCTTTCAGGCAGGGTGACAACATTCTCGTGTTGGCTGAGTGTTGGAATGCGGATGGGGCCCCTAATAAGTTTAACCATCGCCACGAGTGTTCCAAGATTATGGAGGCTCATAAGGATCAGAAGCCTTGGTTTGGATTGGAGCAAGAATATACTCTCTTTGATCTTTATGGAAACCCATACGGGTGGCCAAAGGGAGGCTTCCCGGGCCCTCAGGGACCATACTACTGTGGTGTTGGAACTGGCAAGGTTTATTGTCGTGACATCGTTGAGGCTCACTATAAGGCCTGTTTGTATGCTGGTGTTAAGATCTCTGGAATCAACGCCGAGGTTCTTCCGTCCCAGTGGGAATTCCAGGTCGGCCCGTGTGTCGGCATTGAGAGTAAGTTTAACCTTAGTTTTGCATACCAACTCTGCTGACACTTTGATAGTGGGCGACCATCTCTGGATCGCCAGATACCTCCTTCATCGTGTAGCTGAAGAATTTGGTGTTAAGATCTCGTTCCATCCCAAGCCTATTTCGTAAGTTTTCCACCCGTTAGTGGTGAGAGCGGATTAACACTAACACAATCTATAGCGGAGATTGGAATGGTTCTGGATTACACACAAATGTTTCTACCGAGGCTATGCGCGATGAGGGAGGCATGAAGGCTATTGAGGAGGCCATTCAGAAGCTCTCGACTCGCCACGCGGAGCACATCGCCGTCTATGGCGATGACAACACCCTCCGTCTCACCGGTAGACATGAAACCGGAAATATTGATGCCTTTTCCTATGGTGTCGCGGACAGGGGGTCTTCTATTAGAATCCCTAGGTCTTGCGCAAAGGAAGGCAAGGGTTACTTTGAGGATCGACGTCCTGCATCTAATGCTTGTCCATACCAGATTACTGGTATCATGGTTAGTCTAACCAAACTTCTTGATCTCATCTCAAGAATAATTACTAATATTGTGTTACAGATGGAGACTATTTGTGGCGGCATTTAGATTACGGGTTTTCTTTACTGGCGCAGTTAATGTCTCTTCTCTTCGGTTGTTTTGTCTTTTTCCTTTGGTCTTTTTTATTTTAGACAGGAACGTTAGCGGGGCCTCATTGAGTGAAAAGGGGTCCCACAGAAGTCTAACTATTAATGCAAAAATAAAATTGCAGCCACAACACTGTAGATGTGCCATTTGCCCCTTCTCGCCCTCTTGCTCGTGATCAAAAGAAAGGAAATGAGGGATGAAGGTTCGGTGTAACCAAATAACTCGACCCCACATAACAAACACTCTTCGTTTCCTCCTTTTATCCACTTTCCAAGATCTCCCATCCCATCGACCTGGGTTAACCAACCCAAAAAAACGTTTTCCGAACCCTCCCGATAGAGCATACTCACCTTTTCCACTCCACTTGTATCGCCCCGGTTCCGCCCCAGTGGACTGGGGTGGGGGTGCATACTTTCCAACCGCACAAGCAGGGTGCGATACGATACGATAGATAACGGGATATGTACTGTAGGGTACTGCGTGTGTGTATGGTGCTTGTATCATAAGATGGATGCGGGGCTCCTCAACGTGACACAGCCGATAAGAGAAGTGATGTGAAGAGGAACGAATGAGCACACCGGTCCACCCTACCCACTCAATCACCCTGCCACCTACCGTAGCCGGCCAGCTCACGGATACCTGCCGGGTAGTGAGCAGTGGATTTACAATAAGTTGTGCATGGAGGGGCAGGGGAAGTGAGTGAGTGGGGCTGAAAGCGTAATATTTATTTATTAGCTTGGACATGCCCATTGCGTATTGGACGTGATGGGAATTCATTCAGCTATCCATTCAGCGTGATGTACAGTACTAATGTACTGTGCAGGCGGTATGATATTAGTACTTGCATTGGTGTTTTGGGGACCGAGGTATGTACTGTACAGTATTTCCTTTTAACCATGATGAACGGGTAAATGGAATACTGACTATAATATTATTATTATAGTTTCATACTTGGACTGTACCGTAGTCATATTGGAATTCTATGGCTTCAGCTGCTGAAAAAAAAAAGAAAAGAAAAAAAGAAAAAAACAATAGACAAGTGGGTGTTCATCACGGCTGCCGCCACGGGGGATGTACAGACTAGACAGGCGGGAGGATGTCCGTTTTGCATACTGACTGCTGCTGTGGAATTCCTGTTTCGTGTCGCGTTAGGTGAGAACTGAGCTTGGGGTGGGAAATGGGATTTGCTGCGGTAACTTATGGGGTTTGTGGGATTCGAGGAGTTGCAGCGCTCGATGAAGAAGGAACAAGTATCGTACTTAGCAGCGATATGTGGCGGAACACGGATATCCTGGTGTGGTATAAAGTTGGAGTGAGAGGTTACAGTATTGGCGGTGCTGTGATACGGATACTGGTGCGGTTTCCTTGCTATCCCTACACTTTCTCCAGCCACCCACTAGCCTAGGTTGCTCTACAATAGACTATCGGACTGCGGCTCGACAGTAAGACAAGTTTGGACCTCGGGAATCGGAGGCTATTGTATTCCGTACAATACTCGAGTACTAACAACCTACTCTTGTACCGCATATATTTCTACATACACCATAGACTACGCTTCAGACAGCCTATACACCCTAAAGAATGAGACGGTGCAAATCTCAGCCCAAGTACAGGAACACTTACGGAGCCTCCCCGAGACCTCGCCGGATATGATCGGATATGGAAATGATCGGTTCTCTTGCACCTCTCGCAGGTACTATAGTCTCAAGTCTAGGTTAGACATTAAGCAACGCGGAGGCCTCGTGAGATTTTTCTTCTTCTTTGATACCCACTGGTTGTGCCATTGCTCTCTCTCTTTTTTTCTTCTTCTCTCTTTAGCTCCCCCCGATTTACTAGTGATGTCTCGCTATTGTTGGCGGGCGGCGGCTCAGAGCAGAAGGGATAAGGGAGATGCAAGTCAGTGGACCGGATCCCTCAGACCATCACACTCGCCTTTTCACATGATAGTTTGATACCAGCGGACTCATCTTTTCTCACTCGAATCAAGTCTTTATAGCACCTGGGTCCTCACAGTGAATGGAGGTTCCCCTCGAGGCTCCCCGCACGCTGAGTGCCCGGACACACTTTGTTTTCTAGAGAATTGTGGACTCGCCTATGATAACACCCCGGAGTCCCGAATAGCATGCCCGAACTGTCCGAGCAGGCCAACATACCGCTCTGATTTGCCGCCATGTTTGTTGCGCAGTTCAAACATCATGCTTCTATCCTACTTGAATACCTATTCCCCTACAGTACCCCCACTTCACCACCACCCCTTGTCAGTCTTATTTCCCACCTGCCCTTGTGACCAACCGATCTGAACTTCCAAGCTTTCCTTTCTCTTCTATCCGTTTTGGGCCAAGGATTTCTTTGGAATTTTCGAGAATTCCACCTTCTCCTTTAGGCCCCGCTGGCCTTATTTCCCTCGAGGATTTACTTCGAGGATCCTCGTGCCGAACACCGCTCAAATCTGCACCTGACCACCTCTCCCCTCAACCTTCTTTATCGTGGCCCCCTCTCTCTATCGAAATAATACGAAAAAATTCCTTCCTAATTCGCTTCGCCCAAGCCTACCTAGCGCATGTAGGCAAGAGCATTGCTGTCGTCGGTCCAGACAAAGCACCCCATGATACAACGCAATACCCGTATTCCTTAGTGTGGGCCAAACGCTGTAGTGGAGGGATTCTGGGGTCACGTGGGTTACCCATTTTCCAGGGACCGGCGTTTTTGTTTTTTTTTAGAGAGAGTACTGTACTGTATGTGTCACCACACTCCGGTATTCCATCTTGGACCGCCAGCAGCAAGCACGAGACGAAGATATGAAATTCCGCGCACACTACGATTGCTATGATACTTCACAATCAGATATCTATCGACGAACCCACGAGTTTATCATCCTTGTTTCCCATCATCATCATCGGCAATTCGACAATCATAAGAGATTGAAACAACCGCATTTTGCGCAGAATCTGCAAAAATTGCAGATTTAACTTGTGGTTTGCGTGTGGGAAATGAATTCCAATGATTGTATATAAACAGAGTTGACGAACTCACCTCTCTCCATCTCTCGCATCATGTGGCCAGGACGGGGGTCTCGGTTCTATTCTTGGGGGGCTAGCGCAACTATGATATAAGAAAAAAAAGAACCTCTCTGGACGCTACGTTCATAGTGCGCTGAAAATGGGCATTAGGGAGGGAGGAGGAGGAGTATGATATCGGCAACTGCTATGATACTGTATTTGATGTGGTATGATACCAACTTATAATTCCAGACGGGGTCAACCAAACCCCGTAGCTATGGGATGGGCTGTTGGGAGGAAATGAGGGTGTCGGTGTTCCCTCCAGAACCGGCGGGTGTCAATCCAAGCATGCAAGACTTACCGGTACTCTACCGGACACCACCCAGTATCATAGATATACAGTATGGGTCGGCTCGTCAGTAAGTTACACTTGGTGTTCCCCCCCCCCACCCGAAAAAGTACTTAATTTAAGTAATGCAGTGTAGGGACCCGTACCATACCATCACCTCCAGTGGTGATGGCTGCCGGATTTCCCTACACCGCACCGAATATCGGCTAGCAGCAATGGCCTTAAAGGCTGATACAGCGAATAGAAGAGCCAGCATCTCATCACCAAATTCGTCAATTCGCCCGATATCAAGACTCCACATATGGCGGGACGTTTAGAACCATACATGGCATCATACTGTGTCTAACAGTGCGACGGAACCAAGTGAATCATGGATAACGGCGGCATTCCCACCGCTGGAAGTATGGCGCATTCCCCATCCACTAGGCGCGGCTAACACTCCACCATATGTTTCTGTTCAAAAAAGAACAATACTGGCAAATACCTCGCATGGCGCAGGAGAATTCGGCACCACGGCTCCAAGACTAGAGTTCCTGCTTCTCTCCCCCTAATAGTAGGGTAACTCGAGGACAGTGAAATCAATTTCCCGAAAGTGCTAGAGAATCTAACATAGAAGATAGTCCCCGGAAGCAGTCTCCCCCCAGCGGGCTCCGGTATCCCCCCAGTATCGTGTACGGCTGCTCCAGGACTGCAGGCGATCCTCCCCCGGGGTCAACATCAGTCCGCTCTACTAAGTATTCCCGGAATCACGAGCCGGTTGCCCGGATGCTCCGTGACCGGTCTGGTCTACCAAAGCATCCACGGTGGACCCGCTTCTCGCACTTCTGGGGCCATGGGCACGCCACGCAAGCCTATTGCCCGAAACCCCAGACTGAGATCGAGTGATAACGGATGACCAAGTCCAAGTCACCGTATGGTGGTAAAAAAAAAAAAGTCTAGACCTGGTGGGTAGGTAAGTAAGTGTATTATACCACCACTCCTAGAAGAAAAAAACGAGAAAGAGAGAGAGAGAGAGAGGTGGGAGGGGAGTATGAGAACATCAAGCCCACGGTTGATACCACGCTTCAGACGGGGGGGGGAGCTATCCCGCGCAGTGGGGATAAGATGGAAGCAGTTGTAGAGAATTCCGAGTAGTGAGAGGAAATCTAGGCGATTTTGAAGGGGCATTGCTGGGGAGATGGCAATTCCGGATCATAGGGGTCCTGGATGGCTAAGGTTAGCAGATGTCAGGAGGAATTTGGTATAGCACTTGCACTACTTAATCCCAGAAAGAAAGAAGCTCCATCAGCAGTTAGAGGAGGAGGAGGAAGACTTGGTCAATCCCTCCGGCGGTATCATGCCCAACCCCACATTTCGAGACGTTACAAAATTCAACCAGTAGTAAACCGTTCCAGCAACCCTACTCGAGCAGAACACGCGGACAGGCCGAGGACGCATACATACATACATAATACATACCGCCATTCAATCGCAGAAATAGAAAGGCATCAAAAACGGGTACCCCCCATCAGTCTATATAAAAGTGTGAAATAATTTCAGCTAGAGCTTTCAGAACAATCCGGACATCATCGCCATAAACGACAAGCGGTTAGTAAACACCCACAACAAAACACCAGAAAACAATGATAGCGAACGGAAGGCACAGCACAAGGCAATTTTATCTCGGTCCGTCATACGTACTGTACAGTACAAACAAGCAACATTGCAACATTACCCAATCCAACTTGAACGTCTATGCCAATCCCAGTAATAATGGTGTAAAAGTTGGTTTTGTAAATAAAAAA